CCCGAAAGTTTCAAGTATTATAGTATTAATAAAGTAGTTTTTTTTTATTTGTATACATATATACATTTTCGTATGTATACGTTTATATGAGGGTGTGATTTTTGGCTAGTATGTTTTTGTCTAGGTCTTGTCGGTGGCATCAATCAAGTTTAATCCGCCTCTTCTTGTACGATATTTAGACACCTACAATTTTTTACTCTACGATTATTAAACAGCTGCCTGTACAAAATTACTGACAGGTACAAAGATAAATGCAGAGCTTTTATGTACAACAAATTGACTAAACTGTGTACACCAGGGGCCGGGCTGCTGGCAGGGGCCCACCCACCCACGGAGACAGAAGGGGATCTGTACATGTCTGATCACGTACAAGCTTTTTCCGAGTTCAGGTTGGTCACTATGTGAAGAGTAAAGTGTGTGCTATGAAATTAAGTCTAAATCGTTCTCACTTGGAATAGCACATAGTAGGAATTGTTGATAGTCGTAATTGAACACTGTCGGAAATGTATGCACGGAAAATCGTACCGAAAGAACTGTAGATATCTGGAGTTTTACATATTAAACTGAACTATTAATATGCTAAAAGGTAGATTCGTACATAGTTTGTTTTATACACGGTTGGAAATGTATATACTCGGAATCGTAGATAATCGTAATCGTACTAGGTTCGATTCGAAATTAGCCTTAATTGTCGTCTAAATGAACATAAAATAGTTAACATCGGCAGGGGAGACGTAGCCTAGCGGTAGACATTTAGAATGCTAACCCGATAGACTCGAGTTCGAATCCGAGTTCAAATCAGTAGAATGTCCCTGAGTCAATTCAGCTCTGTAGGTCATTGAAATTGATGGACTCTGGGCACAAACGGGAATAGATGATAACGATCAGTTCATGTAATGTACATAGTATGCTTAGTAATTGTCGGCCTGCGTACCCCCTAATTTTCTTCTATAATAATAAACATAATAAACACCAGCTTTACTATACACAATAATATTAAAATGTTTTGCTTGTTTATAGATCAACAACATTTTGGCCTTCTCAATGCGCAGCCAGCTAATCTTGGGGCAATATTTTTTTCCTTAAACACTGCCTTAAACATACCATTAGCTAAAGCTCAAACACAACAAGTAACCTACAGTCGAACCTTATTTAAATCATTGACCTAACCATGACACTTAACCTAACCAGTATTTCTTTCAGACATTCTCCGAAGGAGGGGGAAATCTTAAACTTCTGGGGTGGGGGTGGATACTGGTAAATGTATACATTTTTAATATAATGTATCGGTATATATGCATATTTTTTTCTATATCGTCAGGGGGGTAGGGGATGGATAGTAGAAGCCCCTCCCCCACCCCTGAGAGATGTCTGAAAGAAATACTGGACTTAACCCAACAGCCGTATCGACAAAATAAGCTCGATGCTGAACTTTATTTGCACTGCCGACATCCATAGCACAGTGCAAATAAGTGACAGTGTTACGTGTTCAGGAATTCATTTAGTTTTACGTAAAAAATAATTCAGGAATTCGTTTAGTTTTATGCAAAAAGTTTTCAGGAATTCGTTTAGTTTTATGTAAAAAGTTTTTAGAAATTCGTTTAGTTTTATGCAAAAAGTTTGCAGGAATTTGTTTAATTTTATGCAAAAAGTTTTCAGAAATTCGTTTAGTTTTATGCAAAAAGTTTTCAGAAATTCGTTTAGTTTTATGTAAAAGTTTTCGGGAATTCATTTAATTTAATGTAAAATAAAGTTTTCAGAAATTCGTTTAGTTTTATGCAAAAAGTTTTCATGAATTTGTTTAGTTTTATGCAAAAAGTTTTTAGAAATTCGTTTAGTTTTATGTAAAAGTTTTCAGGAATTCATTTAATTTTATGTAAAATAAAGTTTTCAGAAATTCGTTTAGTTTTATGCAAAAAGTTTTCAGAAATTTGTTTAGTTTTATGCAAAAAGTTTTTAGAAATTCGCTTAGTTTTATGTAAAAGTTTTCAGGGATTCGTTTAATTTTATGTAAAATAAAGTTTTTAGAAATTCGTTTAGTTTTATGTAAAAAGTTTTTAGAAATTCGTTTAGTTTTATGAAAAAGTTTTCAGGAATTTGTTTAGTTTTATGCAAAAAATTTTCAGGAATTTGTTTAGTTTTATGCACAAAGTTTTCAGAAATTCGTTTAGTTTTATGTAAACGTTTTCAGGAATTCGTTTAGATTTATGCAAAAAGTTTTCAGGAATTCGTTTAGTTTTATGTAAAAAATACAAAATCAAATATTATTCTTCCCTAGATCCTACTACAGTTTATGGGCCGTGGCCGTGGCCAAAGCTGCCTACTTCTCCACACCCCTCAACTACAGCATGGCCGAGGCCACATGCAGGTGTCTGGGCTCTCACCTTTACGTCACTAAGACCATCTTCAAGTTCAACCTACTGGACCAGATTCTAGGGACCAACGACAGCGCCTGGGTGGGGCTGAGTGACCGCGAAGAGGAGTCCAGGTTTGTGTGGGCAGACGACAACACGGTCATTGACCCCATCCTCAAGTTGGCCATCTTCGATTTAGGTCACCCAGAGAACAACACCAATCAAAATTGTGTGCAGGTCACACAATTGCTAATTCTCCGTCTCACAGACCAAGACTGTAGCCAGGCTTTACCTTTTGTTTGTGAGAAGCCATAATCATCTTTTCCCCGTTCGTGCCCAAGACACATAGCGCAGATGTAGTAGAGTTCATCTGTTTCAAGGACCTCGGCATACAAGAAAATAATGTGGTCAGCACTAAATCCAGCAGCCTTTGTTTTCCTAATAAGAGTTAGGTACCCATCAGAGATGGTTGAACTCAGGGACGTCCTACTCATTTGACCGAGGTCAGGGAAGCAGACACTCTATCCCATCTTCTCAAAGGATTTAGTCTTTTAGTCTGAAACAGAACTTTTATTTTTAAAATGAGTAAAGAAAGATAATTTGAGACTCCATGTTAACATTCGCATTAAATTTTTCATGTATTTTTTTTCTTGAACTGAACCAATAAACCAAACAAAACATAAGGTTGTTCAGCCTAATTTATCTATTTTATTAAAGTTCAATAAGTGCTGTGGCTAGTAGATACGAATATATTGTTTAAACGATGTAATCCATTGATTAGGGTCGCAAGGTGGAATATATCGTTGTGATTAAAGCCTTCAAAATATAGACCATTAATTATCCCCCCCCCCTACAATTAAAACAACCATTAATTGCGTTTTTAAATTCTCGTCTTTTTCCACCCCTTCTAACGTGCGTTAATATACGCCCCCCCCACCCCAATCCCCCTATTACGTCACAAACCTATTTAGGTTTAATGTAAATTAGCTCATTATACTAATCACCGATGTATGGATCAAACGCTTCTAGTTCATTAAGATCAAATATTTACCCTTTACGTGCACTTGATTAATGATTTATTGCGTACACAACAAAAACGCAGCCACCTCTACATATAGCTGATTGTATAGTTTAATGATCTATTACAGTAAACCTTGGATTTATTGCATCGCTATGCAACTGCTTTAATTTGCCCATATCTTTCCGTATTATGTCGTTGTAGTACTGACTTCGCTTAGGTCATACGTTTAATTAAGTTGTCTAGAATCTAAACTTTGTATTGTACCCATTCCCAGCAGTAGAAATGAACACGAAATGTAATCATACATTACAGTCGTCTTTTTTATCTTAGTGGTGGGACTGGATCCTTAAATAACACGTTATTTATTTATTTTTATTTTTATTTTCATTGCATTTAAAAGCCTATTATTATAAATGGTTTATATATTTGTTTTATGTTCTACTTTGGAGTGATTTATTCTTAATTAAATAAACACCGCATACAACTAACATGCTTTAAAAGCCAACCAGTAGCTCACGATCTCTAAAAGACAGGTATCTGCCCTTCTTAAACCCTGGAGAAAGCAACTTTTTGTGATGAAACTATTCGTCGTGTAATCAGGCTAATTGAGTAATCGCTTGAGATTCGTTGTTATCTCCTCCTTTTATTGAATATATTAATATTTTATAATTTTAAATTAATAATTGAATATCTAATTAAAAATTAGAAATTGTATTGTCATGAAAGACGAACAAGTCTGAAAACGAAATCGCTTCATTAGAAATGGATACAAATTCACTTACCAGATTTGAAACAAACCCACACACAGATATTGTGAAATAAATAAAAAGCACACAGTTATTAAATAAAACATTAATCTCAGTTAAATCGTACTAAAACAGAAAATGTATTTGCCAGCAAATTTTATTTTAAAAACACATTTAATTCACACCATTTTAGTTTTTTTATACACCAGCTGTGGTTTTAAACAGAGTGTCGTCCCTTGCCTTGTGCAAAAAAAAAATGTCAACAGTAATTATAAACCAACATTCAAGTTGTACATTTCATTTTCATATTCATGTGGTGCGTTTCCAATAGGTCAACAATGGTATTACAGAAGCGAATTATTCATTGGTATAAACCTTGAATACTAAATATAAAAAACGTTTTAAATTTACAAAACATGGCATTAATTAAGTTTCATGTTATATTTGTACAGCATTCCCTTGAGTATCACAAGAGTTATGTCCCAAACACCACACCCCCATATTAAAGAACCCTCTTTCACAGTAAGATACCCTTACACACTGCTTATTTTAAATCAAAGTTCATTTTCTATGCCTCCTTACGTTAGAATAATTAAAAATAAACATGTAAATACAGCGAAGCAGGAACACCGGTAATCTTGAATCGTGACATTATAGAGAGATTACTGTATTGAGGGAAAGTATCAGTCAACTGAATAAAAAGTGAATTAAATTTAAAAAAAACGCTCGTGAGATAATAAATATACTTTTAAAATATGAAACTGTTTTTATTTACAACTTTGGAGAAAGGGTGATCGCGTCTATTGAATTTCCGTACAGTCGTCTATGTGAAAAAGCAATAGATCATCATCATCATCATTTTTGTTTAGTGCCCAAGATAAATTGGGCAGATAAAGTAGAGTTCATCTCTTTCAAGGAAGTCGGTACGCAGTGGGATAGTGTGGTCAGCATCATGCCCAGCGGCCTTAGTTTCCTCAGCGTGATTCAGATACAGGATTCGAACTCAAGACATTCGGTTTAGCAGTCGTAAGCGCTAGAGTGTTACTCAAATGACTACTAATGTTTTGTTTGATGATGTTACCATGACGACAATAAGATTATAAGTTAACCATTAAGAAACTATACACAATTTACTTCTTTCTTTCTTCTTTTTCTTTCGTTTGCTATCCCCGGTCAACATTTTTAAATCGTTCTGTGAGGCAGCTTTCGCGCGATCTTTAGCGTGGCTTGGTGAGGGGGGCGGGAACGTCTCGCTCTTGACCACCGCTCTTCCGGGCAGAGCAGGGTGAGCAGTGGCGTCACCTGACGCGTGAAGGTCAGGGACGATGGCCGTGGTATTCGACGTTTGTGAGTTACTTGTGTGTTCGGGTTGACGAGACACGTGAACAGGATGTGGCGTCACCTTGTTTGAAGATGGTGGAGATTTCGAGTTTCGGTTTGACGCGCCATATCCGCCCATACACATAGAAGCTAACTGGTTTACCAGTTCTGGATTGTTAACAATCGCGTCTTCAACAATCGTCCCGTTTTTTGTTTTACTTTCAGAACTCGTGGGTCTACTTCCGTGGTAGGTGTTTTTAAAAGACCCGCTGATGTACACGCAGTCGGGGTTGTCTTGCAGCGATGTGTTCGTACTACACGAGGTTAAGACGATCTTAGAATCGTTAACTTTCGTAGCTGGCATAGACTCTGCGTCTGGGGAAATCAAAGTCTCGTCGTTGGAAGAACGAGAAATTTTCTTGTTCCTCAACAATTTCCCTTTACTACTGTCCACACTCTGTTCGCTTTCCGTCTTTTCCAGCTTGTTCCGGTTCAATTTTGTCGAAGTCAGCTCTGAAGACTTAACAACTTTATCCGGGCTTTGCTCCGAGTCGGAACCGGCGTAGAAAGTTGGTGTCTCGTCGAGGTCTTCGTTTTCGGAATTGAACGACAGCTGTTTGTGGAGCTCTTCGTTGGAGGAAGTTAGGAACTTGACCAGCGAGCCTCGCTCGTTGTCGTCTGCGTGGACGACAAGCTCGCTGTATTCGTCCACAGGGTCCTTGAGCCGACGATTCAGTCGCCCACACAAGAAGTAGGTGCTCATCTTTCCTTTACCTTTGACCTCCATCTCGCCCCTGTGCTGAAAGGTGTACCCCCATCCTCGTAGAGCTCTGTTTAATAAAACATGAAGTATACAATCAAAATTGGTTTCAATGATAAAATAAATAATTACTTGAAATAAATGAATTAATATCAAATATATATTAACCAACATTTATTGTATTTTATAATTAAAAAATCCTAACAAGGAAATACGAGGAAGGACAGGCTTAAACGACATGGTCTCAGAAGTACGAATGAGGAGATGGAGATGGCTGGGCCATGTCCTATGCATGAGCAAAAAAAGACTCCTCAACATGGCGCTGAAGTGGAACCCACCCGGAAAGAGAAATAGAGGAAGACCACTGGGAACAAGGAGGAGAGAGATGGAAGAAGAAGTGCAGGCTACAGACAAGACCTGGCATGAATTGAAGTGGCTCGCCCAAAACAGAGAGGAATGGCGGAGATTTGTTGCTGCCCTATACTCCACAGGGATTGACGACGATTAAGTAAGTAAGTAATATTTAACAATGTACAACAGAACAATTTTTTTTTTATTTTATAAAAAAGTTCAATTAAAATTGTCCTAAAAATACAGAATATACTTCTAAGCACGGCTAAAAATTGCCTAAAACGGCTTATAAGGTTGTAGAGAATAATAACTAAATAGGATAGTATTATTGAAACGAAAAAAAAACTATTTGTATTTTCAACCATTCTTTTGTTTTTCCCCCGAATGTACCCCAACAGACTATATCAGTGCTGTCTTAATCTAACTAGAAGAAAAGTTATATATTTAAATATTTATCGCTTTAGTTTAATCTTATACAGCAGAATATTCTCTAACCTGCAGTTTAATACACCACTTGGCTAGATTATTGAGCTTATTTGAGTTACCTACGAGCCTTTGGTACTCAACTACTGAGCGGGTCCTACTGTAAGACGTGAGGTACCTTTAAGTGACCTGTAACTGGCATGACTTACTGATAGGTGACCTGTAACTGACGTGACTTACTGATAGGTGACCTGTAACTGACGTGACTTACTGATAGGTGACCTGTAACTGACGGGACTTACTGATAGGTGACCTGTAACTGACGTGACTTACTGATAGGTGACCTGTAACTGACGTGACTTACTGGTAGGTGACCTGTAACTGACGTGACTTACTGGTAGGTGACCTGTAACTGACGTGACTTACTGATAGGTGACCTGTAACTGACGTGGCTTACTGATAGGTGACCTGTAATTGACGTGACTTACTGATAGGTGGTCGGGCTCACGTGGATCCGACCAGGCACCCCGTGGCTCTCCATCCTGGAGGCGGTGTTGACCGTGTCACCAAACAGGCAGTAGCGGGGCATCTTGACCCCCACCACACCCGCCACCACTGGACCCGTGTGGATGCCGACCCTGATCTCAAAACAGAAACAAACACACACGATCATGCAGCAATCAATGACACGTTATAAAAACCCTGTTTGCAATTAATTTACCTTCGTAGTTGCGGTACGTTGTTATTTTCGATTTATATATTTCACAAAATTATAAATTATTGTATAGGCTGCAAAATCGAAAGTCTCGAGTTCGAATCCGGGTCCATCTCAGTAGAACGACCGTGAGTCCATCCAGCTATAATGGGTACCTAACTAATGTTAGGGAACGTAAAGGCGGTTGGGCTAAGTGCTGACCACACCTCCCCTTCATTTGCCGAGTCACAACTGTAAGCAAATCTTACTACAACTGTGCTCCGACATAAATGTAATCATGACCTCTGCAACTATACTTCTTGAAATAAAGGTCAGCTTGACCTCTACAAATATACTTCTTGAAATAAATGTCAGCTTGACCTCTACAACTATACTTCTTGAAATAAATGTCAGCTTGACCTCTACAACTATACTCCTTGACATAAATGTCAGCTTGACCTCTACAATTATACTCCTTGACATAAATGTCAGCATAGCCTACTTCAACTGTACCTTCTGATATTACAAGAACTGTATCCCTCCCCATATAGTTAAGCTCAGCATGACATACTACAACTACCCCCCCCCACCTCACTGACATACAGCTACCTACTAAAACAATACGCCTCCCCCCCCCCCCTGACGATAGGGCCCATAACTCCTACCTGCAGTGGCAGCCCTGTGGCCGGAGATTTAACGTCCCCAGCGTCCTCCACCATGTCCATGGCGAAGTTGGCCACGGGCTGCGCGTGCATTGACGTCTGTTCCGGCACACCGCTCACGATCATGTACGCGTCACCGATTGTCTCCACCTGCTCAAGGTAAACGTCAGGGATTGATACTTTTATTGGTAACAGAAAGATGGATCAACAAATTTAAATGTAAATCTACATGGCGAATTGCTGTAGCTGAAAAATTGAGTCGTATGGCATTCTTATATTTTGCTATCGTCTTTTTCCCCAGAAAATGTTTCACACAAAGAGTGTATTAAAATAATTTTTATAACAATTGCAATAAATTCAAACTATATGCGTATACAATTTATTAATTTATTCAATTTATTCAATAACGTTTACAACAGTAGGCACGGAGGCCTTTTTTTTCACGTTGGGCGTTTAAAAGAAACAAGAAAAAAAAACATCGACTAAACTACTTTACTTATTTATTGCCATTTCTTCAATGATCGTCAGCAGATTTTAGAAAAAGTTATCGCTTGTTATTATTACCCAACCTCAACGCTAACCCTGATAGTAAACTGGGTGTAAATGTGAGAAGGTGGTCGGATTGTACAACTCACGACTGATAATCCGAAACATGTATGTAAACCTCCGTGTGAACCTATGTGTGAACCTATGTGTAAACCTATGTGTGAACCTACGTGTGAACCTATGTGTGAACCTATGTGTGAACCTATGTATGAACCTACGTGTGAACCTATATGTGAACCTATGTGTGAACCTACGTGTGAACCTATGTGAACCTATACGTGAAACTATGTGTAAACCTATGTGTGAACCTACGCGTGAACCTATATGTGAACCTATATGTGAACCTATGTGTGAACCTATGTGTGAACCTATGTGTGAACCTATATGTGAACCTATGTTTGAACCTACCTGTGAACCTATATGTGAACCTATGTGTGAACCTTTGTATGAACCTACGTGTGAACCTATATGTGAACCTATATGTGAACCTCTATGTGAACCTATATTTGAACCTATATGTGAACCTATGGGTGAACCTATGTGTTAACCTATATGTGAACCTATATGTGAACCTGTATGTGAACCAGTACCGACCTTGTATACATTGTGCTGGGAGGTCCTTGCATCAAACCGCTGGTACATGTCGTTCAACATGTTGACGATGTCCATTGGACTGCAGGCTGCGGCGATGTTGGTGAAGGTCACGATGTCGCTAAACAAGATGGTCACCTGGTCAAACTTTTCTGGAATAGGGGCGGGGGGGAGGGGGTAGCAGTGGGGGAGGTCACGTTAGTAATAATATTTTAACAGGCAGTACTATTATATCACTGTAGACAACCTAATATAGACATCTAAAGTTACTACTGACAACCTAATATAGACATCTAAAGTTACTACTGACAGCCTAATATAGACAACTTAATTTACTACTGATAACCTAATATAGACATCTAAAGTTACTACTGACAACCTAATATATACGTCTAAAGTTACTACTGATAACCTAATATAGACATCTAAAGTTACTACTGATAACCTAATATAGACATCTAAAGTTACTACTGACAACCTAATATAGACATCTAAAGTTACTACTGATAACCTAATATAGACATCTAAAGTTACTACTGATAACCTAATATAGACATCTAAATTTACTACTGATAACCTAATATAGACATCTAAAGTTACTACTAACAACCTAATATAGACATCTAAAGTTACTGATGACAACCTAATATAGACATCTAAAGTTACATTTGACAACCTAACAGAGACCTCAAAATATACTACTAACTATATAATATATTCCTCTAAAGATACTACTGAAAACATAATATAGACCTCTAAAGATAACCCTTATACTGAACGTTTAAAGATCTACTAAAATTATGTATATACCTGGGCTATTTATTTAGTTTTGTTCCCAAATTCTTATACTATAATAGATTCAGCAATGAAGTTAAAAAAAATATCTATTTAGAAAAAAAATAATTTAAAAACCAAACCGACTAAGCCCAATGTTCGAAACATTGATAATGGATTTTCATTTTTTAAAAATGTGTTATCACTTTTTATAATCATGTAATTCTCCTTATGTTTCATACAAAAATGGTTGCAATTTAATTTTGAAATGCAATGCAAGTGGGCATCTATTTTAACATAAAAGTTTATCACCAGATATTTTTACAGTGAACACCTATAATCACAAGTCGTCAAAAAAAAAAAAAAAAAAAAAAAAAAAAAACCACTCAAGTATAGCCTTTGCAATGTACTACACGAATGTAAAAATTTGACCACCATCTAGCACATAACACAGCATATTTTCTTGGAATCGACGAACTATGTCGTGTACTTTAATACCGTAAAAAATCAAGATCATTAGCGATAAATCAGATTCCATATTGCTTCAGCGTTAGGTTGATTAATTAGTTTGCACTTTAGAAGCCAAATCAGTTTTTATCATAACCGCGTCAGTAAACAGAGCCAGGTTGATAAACGTTGAATTAGACCCGTGAAGTCACCCATACACAATATGGAGGATATTTACTATCTGTACTTTAGATTAACAAACCAAGTTTGTACGTGTTATGTATTTTTTGCTTTAGCTTTTGTCGAAAATTTTGTTTGCTAAATGTTTTCAAAATAGACAGACTCTTTAGTACAATACTTTAAAAAAAGCACTTTAGTATTTCAAGATTTAATATGTTTTGTTTACAGTGTAGTCGGGTTGGTAGCGTTTTATTGCTAATTCCAAAAGTCCCGAGTTCGAACTTCTGGGAAGGTGATGTTTTATAGCTAAAGACAGCAGTAGTTCTAGTACAGAAAATTCCAAAACCAAACAACATCTGCATTGCAGATAGTTCTTTGAAGGACAAAGACTAAGAAAAGAGCAGAATCTAGTCGGAATCAAAGAGATATATGACGCATAACATGTTACATTTTGAAGGAAACCCCCTTGAATATTACAAGAAAGAACGATGGAGATGAAGTTTATTTTAAAGTTTCATAAAAAAATATATAAAAACCAATATATAGCTATTAATTGATGGGGCTGATGTAGCATGTTTCATTAGAAAACACGTGTTTGTGGAGGTCGGGTTAAGGGGGTGTGGGTGTTTTTATATCCTCTAAGCTGAAGCTAATTACTGGTAAAAGCCTTTTGGCTATAGCTGAGCTAGGAAGTGACCAAAAAAAAACTGGACGTCGCGTCATTCGATTACAAAAAAAAATGGGAGATGTTAATTTTTTTGTGTCGATAAAATGCGTAAACAATGTGTCTTCTGAACTTAAATCAACAAACTTTTTGAGCGGCTTTAAGTTTAGATGGAGCCAAGAATGTGGTTTGGGTGTGGAGTATGTGTGCGTGTACGTGTGGTGTGTGGCTTTTGCTTTTTTTGTGTGACTGAAGTGTAACTTGTATGTATGGGGGGGGGGGGTAATTACCCAGGGGTAAATAATTACCCAGGGGTAAATGCTCCAAGGGGTAATGTCGGGGGATGTCCGTGGGGGGGGTGTAATTTTCCAAAGGGTAGAATTAAAACCTTAAGGGTGTAATGCCGGGGTGATATCGGTGGGGGGGGGGGGGGTAATTGACGTAGGGGGAGGGGCAATGTCCTGCTTCTGTGGTTTGTGTATGAAATGAGTGAGGTTTTTTGTGTGACTGATGTTGAGGCTTAGCGTTTTGCTCAGTTCTTGTCTTAGCGCAATACTTATTGTGCGAATGATTAAAACTGTGGTTTTCTCAAGCACCTAATGTTGATACCAATAATCAACTGATTAAAACAGAACAGTTCGCACCTGCTTCAACTTTCTGCCCGTGGGTCAGGGCGTCTGCTACTTTCCTCGGCAGCATCTGGTGCAGCAGAGTTTCTGTCTTGGACTTTTCCTCCTCCAGTTCCTGTGAGGTCTTCTTCAGCTCCGCCGTCGTCTCGTCCAGTCGTTTGCTGTAACAATAGAGGGATGGTCAGTGTACGGTGGTGGTTCTTGAGTGTGGGTTCGTGTTATGGGGGGTGGGGTGGTGGTGGTAATTTTGTTTCCATTTTTAAATACACACAGTGTTACTAGAGTGTTTGTAAGCGGGTGGGTGGTGGATGGCAATATGATGTCCTTTTTTACGTAGACAGACACAAACAAACACAAATACAAACACACAGGAGGACCTCGTGAAGGTCGAGAGAAATCCATCAGTTTTTTTAGAAATGTACCTTAGTGTATCAATAAGGTATGCGATTGCGCGTTACATAAAGACATGTAGTGATAAGGCTATTTGTTGGTTAGACAATATCTTGTGCCTATGGTCTAACTATCAGTATGTTAAAAAACTGTATGTGTTTATGTAATGTGTAAATTAGAAAACGGTATGCGCTTAGGTTATGTGTAAGACAACTGTATGTGCTTACATTACGTATTAAGACAACTGTAAGTGCTTACGCTATGTGTAAGACAACAGTATGTGCTTGCGCTATGTGTAAAACAACTGTACGTGTAAAAAACATGACGTGTAAGACAACTGAATGTGCTTACAGTATGTGTACGTATGTACATACAACTATGTGCTTACGCTATGTCGATCTCCGCTATCCTCTGTTGATTGAGCAGCACCAACTCCCTCGTGACGTCATACAGCGGTATGTCCGCCAAGTACACGTTCATCTCCATCAACTCGTTCAGTGACGTCAGACGCGGGGAGCCAATGAAAATCATGTTTTGTGTGTCAGACAGCCAGATCATTTGACCTGAAAGTTTGCCGAAAATATTATTTGAAAACGGTTTAAAAAAAATATTCAGACGTCCTTCAAATATAATTCAATGAAATTTCCATTAACAAAATTAGAAATAGAAGGTATTCAATTATAATTAAATCGATTGAATGATTTGGCTTCTTGGATAACAGTAGTTTCATTACATTGATAATATTTTTCATTTTTATGAAAGCTTGTCAGAGTTTCTTTCAGGCATCTCTTTTCGTGGATGGGGGGGGGGTAGGAGGGTAAGTACACTGCTCCATCCCCGTTGCACGTTTACCTACCCTTCCCGAACGAAAAAAATATAATGTATATAGAAAATATATAGTTTCTTCCTTCCCCCTTTCCCCCCTCCCAAAAAATTTATGTGCCCCCCCCTTCACAATCAAAACTTTTAAGTGTAAGTGGGGGAAATTAATGGGCTTAATACTAACCACAACATCCCTTCATATGCCGAGGTTAAGAAACTCTACTTCATATGACCACAGAGGCGTAGCGACCCTTCCAGGCGCCCGGGGACAAACTTTCAATTTGATTTGCACCCCCCCCCCTCAAACTTTTGATATGCACACCCCCCCCCCCCCCTCAAACTTCTGATTTGCACCCCCCCCTCAAACTGTTTAGAATGCAAAAATGCAGCTAAAATTACATTTTAATTTGTTTTTACAACCCATTTTGGCGCCCCCTAAGGTCGGCGCCCGGGGACATATGTACCCCCCTGCCCCCCCATCGCTACGCCTCTGTATGACCAACGGACCTCTTAGTCTGAGGCAAATTCTTTACTCTTTTCAATTGATATATTCTCATAAACCAGCATTTTCTAACAATTTTTCACCCCAAAAAAAATGGGGGGCGGGGGAGTGTTGTATAGCCAGTGTAGTTGGATTTTGATTTACTGCTACACACGACTGCACAAGAAAGCATAGGGGAGCTTACTACCGCTTCATTTTTCTACATTTTTAATGAAAACAATAAATAGCTAATACTGACCTTTCAGCAAAAGAGTTTTCCTTCCATTTTCTTCTCTCACGATCGCTAACAGAAACACGGCGTTGATAAACTTTCGAATGTTCTCGATGCTGATCACCATCTTGGGGTGGACGATGCTGAACGCTCGGGTCAGGGGCGTCCCCTCCGTCAACGTCATGGTCGAGTGCTTTTGGATGAGATCGCCACATTGTCTAAAACCAGATAAACAGCAGACCGGAAACTCAGACGAGATTTAAGGAGGAGAGAAACAGTGCATGCACTCTAGATTTTTGTCGATTTCCTGCGGGTTAAACTAATTAAAATTTTGTTTTTCTAGCTCTGGTTAAATAAACCTAGTAGCCTGACAGATTATAAAATATCGTTTCAACGGTTAACGGATAGAGGTTATAAACCACAAAGAGCATAAGTATTTCACATTTCATGGACGGCGTGGCCTAAGCGGTAGAGCGCTAAGCTGCTAACCCGACAGTCTGGTGTTCGAATCCAGGTTTAGTTAGTAGAACCTCCCTGAGTCCACCTAGCTGTGATGGGTAACTAACTCATGTTAGGGAAAGTAAAGGCAGCTGGACAAAGTACTAACCACAACCTCTTTTCATATCGCGAGGCCAAGAAACATATGAATTCTACCTCATCAGTCAAATGGTTTGCTAGGTCTAAAGACAATTACTTAAAGACAACTTTATTCCATCGATAGCCTGAGTTTTGAATTACTAACATATCATTCTGATCAATATTTTTATTTCCCAGTTTTGTGTTATTAAAATTTGTAAATGTTTTGTTTGCACTTTGGTTCTCATAGCGCTGTTCAATCTCAGTTTTTAAACCTTCACGCTAGATAAAGATCAACGAAAACTGTCGATTTTATCTGATTGTGACACACGATGGCGAAGGCAACTGGCCACCAATTAAGTGGTTAGAACAAGGCAAGACAAGTTAAAAAAAAATTGTCCGGAGTTCGCTTTTTCTTGCTTTTTTCTTTACAATTGTTACCCAAATATACGTGTTCCCAAAATAAACCGATGTCCCAATTAACGAGTTAGATCCAGGCACCACTTCTCAGGGGTTACAGCCGTCCCTTCCCTCCCCTCCCCTGCCCCCCCCCCTCCCCTCCCCCATCCTGAAGCACGTCAACTGTCCCCTTTTCCGAAATAAATAATATTTTAAAAAAAACAATTATATGTACAAACTATAATATGCTTTAACCAGTCTCTGTCCACTGGAAATTAAGTGCCACCACCACAACCCTACACACACACACACAAGATCCAAGTACTCCACCCAACTCCCACATACCCGGAGAAAAAAAGTTTGAAAGAAACACCGAGGACAGAGCTGAATCGACAGAACAAGTAAGTGCCCGTGTACTAAAAATAGAACAGTACATTAGGTGTGACCTAAAAATTACCGTAAGTGTTACGTGAAGCTGTAAACGGATTAAGGAACCAGGAACGTGTTTCCTGTTGAGGCTCTAGCTCTAGACAATTTTATACCACATGTAGTTGTCCTACTATCATTCGGCAACAACAGTCACCAAAAAGGGGAAAAAATTGGTTCAAAAGCGATAGTCAAGGGACATTCTCAGTTAAAGAAATGTGAACTTGAGAAAACAAAACGTGGTCGCTAAGTTGGTCAACATTTTATAAATATTTGTTCCTCACAAACAAGGACACCATCACTCACTCGCTCGGTTTACCTCAGCTATTTATAGCATCTGATGGAGGAGATAGTGTGTACATCACGCGCGTCCTAAAAACGCAATGAGCTCACTGTTTGCCTAGCACTTCCCTACCTTAGTGGAATGACTTTGACCTGAACACGCACGTCCGGTCTTAAAATAGAACACCACGACATGATATGACTGGACCAGTGATTCTAGTACCTCACCATATACAACAGAGATAGTACCTCACTACATACAACAGAGATAGCACAACACCACAACATGATATGACAGAACCAGTGATTCTAGTACCTCACCATATATAACAGAGATAGTACCTCATCACATACAACAGAGATAGTACAACACCACAACATGATATGACTGGACCAGTGATTCTAGTACCTCACCATATACAACAGAGATAGTACCTCATCACATACAACAGAGATAGTACAACACCACAACATGATATGACTGGACCAGTGATTCTAGTACCTCACCATATACAACAGAGATAGTACAACACTACATACACCAGAGATAGTACAACACCACAACATGATATGACTGGACCAGTGATTCTAGTACCTCACCATATACAACAGAGATAGTACAACACTACATACACCAGAGATAGTACAACACCACAACATGATATGACTGGACCAGTGATTCTAGTACCTCACCATATACAACAGAGATAGTACAACACTACATACACCAGAGATAGTACAACACCACAACATGATATGACTGGACCAGTGATTCTAGTACCTCACCATATACAACAGAAATAGTATCTTACCACATACAACAGAGATAGTACAACACCACAACATGATATGACTGGACCAGTGATTCTAGTACCTCACCATATACAACAGAGATAGTACAACACCACAACATGGTATGACTGGACCAGTGATTCTAGTACCTCACTACATACAACAGAAATAGTATCTTACCACATACAACAGAGATAGTACAACACCACAACATGATATAACTGGACCAGTGATTCTAGTACCTCACCATATACAACAGAGATAGTACAACACCACAACATGGTATGACTGGACCAGTGATTCTAGTACCTCACCATATACAACAGAGATAGTACAACACCACATACAACAGAGATAGTACAACACCACAACATGATATGACTGGACCAGTGATTCTAGTACCTCACTACATACAACAGAAATAGTATCTTACCACATACAACAGAGATAGTACAACACCACAACATGGTATGACTGGACCAGTGATTCTAGTACCTCACTACATACAACAGAAATAGTATCTTACCACATACAACAGAGTACCTCACCACAGAGATAGTACCTCACCACATGCAACAGAGATAGTACACCACCGAGTACACCACATATAACAGAGATAGTACCTCACCCTATAAAATAGAACCAGGTAGTCTAGTATTTCACAACCTATAACAGAACTAGTATCTAATCACATATAACAGAGTTAGTACCTCACCAGTTATAACAAAGCTAGTATTTCACCAGATATAAACAGAACTAGTGCCTCACCTCATACAACAGAGATTGTACCTCATCACATATAACAAAACTAGTACCTCACTACAAATAACAGAGATAGTACCTCACCACATACAAGAGAGATAGTACCTCACCACATATATTAGAACTAGTACCTCACCACATACAACATAGATAGTAACTCTTCAGCTATTTCACTGGACCATTGACTCTAGCACCTCACCATATATATCAGAACTAGTACCTCACCAATTACAACAGATATTATCTCACCACCTCTACCAGAACAGGTATCTCACGATATATAACAGAACTAGTACCTCACAAAATATAACATAACTAGTACCTGACAGGATATAACATAAATAGTACTTCACCAGATATAACAGAAATAGTAAATAAAAAAACTTACAGAACTAGTACCTCACCAGGTATAACAGAATTAGAACCTCAGCTATTAAACTAAAACAGTAACACTAGTATCCCACCAACTACAACAAACATAACTAGACACTTTTGATCGTGAGACTTTTGATGTTCTTCCACATTTAATGGGTCGCTTTCACGAAAAAAAAAATGCCATGACAGATAATACATTAAAAGTGCTTTGTAAATAGCCTCCCGTCCGTACTTTATCCCTGACGAGTTTCGCCAGCCCGCTAATTAAACTTGACTTTAAATAATTGTAAAGGAATTGGAGCCAATTAGTCTGTCAAGCTACAAAACACAATCTTCCTGTCATCAAATCTCTAGAATCCCTCTGCCCATTTTGTGAATCACGAGGTTTTCTCGTACTAATCGATATGGCAGGTCATGTTGCTCTACAGGTATACATACATTAAAGACTAAACCATTTACCCTAGGTATAGAGACAACTCAATGTAGTTTACAAGTATATAGAAAAGTCAATCTACCCAGATTGTTAGCTAATATGCGAAAGATGGATCGGTCTTTCAAGTTCTGTGTTATTAATAAACTTGACACAGGATATTTCTAAAGCTCAAAGAAAATCAGCGTCATCACCATTTCTTAAAAGTCAACATAATTAGTAGATAGTACCAACAGCATGAACAGAAATAGTAGACAGCATCATCGGCATTATAGAGAACAAACAGATAGTAATAGCATCATCAACAGTGTCTCTTCCAGGGGGGGAGGGGCTGTGCCCCTCCCCCGAAAAAATTCTACAGCCACCCCCCCACCCCCTCTCCCCGTACGAAATGGAATTTATACAGCAAGTACATACTTTCAATAGTGTTCGCCCTCCCCCGAAAAATATTAGTCCGCCACCCCGAAAATTTCAAGTGCCCCCCCCCCCTTCTCCGGAGAAAAAAGTGTGGAAGAAACACTGATCATCAACATAACCCCCAAAAACGTGCACACAATGTCAGTCATCAATAGTCCTTATATAACCAGACATCTTCAACTCTGGAGTTGTTCCCACTACCATGCTGTTCTCTCAGACCGGTCATCTACCCAGACCTTGAGACGACGCGCTAAATACAGACAGGCTACGGGGTTAGATCTCAGCGTTTATTAAATTATTGCTCGTCGCTGTAGCGGCGTCTAGCGTCATTCCATCTTACCGATAGCAAATCGTCAATGGCGCACAAAGAACGAATTGCGTCGGGGGGGGGGGGATCTAGGCGTTCACAAATGATCAGGACAAGAGTATCGTAACAGCAAGTTGATGCCAGGAGTTAAATGTCGTTGATGTCTTTACGATCTTTGACTTTCCCTGCCAGTTAATATGTCTGGGGCGTAGGCCGACCCGTTATGAGAAAAATGCTAAAAAAAAAGTCTGCATAGTTCTAGACTTAGATTTCGGAAAAAAAAAGAAGTATTATAAACTCAAGGTCTAGTGGGTTATCCTATTCGGCTTATCTGAATTGGGAAGTTATTTTTTTATCTTAGTTTGTTTTATTTTTGCTTGTTACATTTGGTCTCAGCTCAAACGGTTATGATAAATCAATATTTCGATACAGGCCATCAGTTTAAATCTTTTTAGAATCTGACCTTTTAACTCTAAACTTTAAACATAATTATTAGTAAGTTACAAGTTATACATCACTAAGGTTGTGGACTAGTTTATTTGTCCGCTTAAATAATGAAATAAAAAACAATTACTAATTATATATATATATATATATATATATATATATTGATTATTCATTTACATTTTACAAGAGCTATAGAAACAAAACGTCCATTGATTTAAAAGGTAGATAAAATAGTTATATATTTCAGGATTTATCACGGTCGAATATTTTTTTGTAATTCTTGATTGTTACGTTTCCATCGACTATGATTCTTACTTCACAGGTTGAAAATGCTTTGTTAATTAATTCTTAAGTCCAAGGTGAAACATATTTTGTTACCTGATTCTCAAGTCCCTTCTTAAAAATATTTTGGTACCAGATTCTGAAGTGCTAGTTATAAATGTGTTTTTACCTGATTAAATCCCGCTTGAAAATATTTTCTTACTTCATTCTTGAGTGCAAGTTAAAAATAGTGTTACCTGATTCTTAAGTCCCAGGTGGAGAATATTGTTTTACCTGATCCAGAAGTGCCACTTAAAAATATTTTGTTACCTGATTCTCAAGTCCCAATTAAAAATATTGTTTTACCTGTTTCTAAGTCCCAACTGAAAATATTTTGTTACCTTATTTTTGAGTTCTAGTTAAAATATTTTGTTACCTGATTCTCTAGTCCCAGTTAAAAATATAGTTTTACCTGATTCCCAAGTCCCAATTAAAAATATGTTCTTACCTGATTCTCAAGTCCCAGTTTAAAATATTTTGTTAACTGATTCTTGAGTGCTAGTTTAACAATTTTTGTTACCTAATTCTCAAGTCCCAGTTAAAAATGTTGTATTACCTTATTCTCAAATCCCAGTTAAAAATATTGTTTTACTTTATTATCAAATCCCAGATAAAAATATTTTGTTACCTGATTCTCAAGTCCCAGATAAAAATATTTTGTTACCTGATTCTCAAGTCCCAGATAAAAATATTGTTTTACTTGATTCTCAAGTCCCAGATAAAAATATTTTGTTACCTTATTCTCAAGTCCCGATCAAAGATGATGTGGTACGGGAAAGCTGCGCAGAAATCTGACGCCCTGAGCAGGACTGTGTCCGGGTTGAACTCTACAATTTCCTTTCCATCGCTGGAACCTTCGGGCGACAACCTCTCACTCGATGCCAGAGATGCTGCACTGTCCGACCGCAGCTGGACCCTAGTGGTCAACAAACTGTTTGGTCATTGGCGGGTATCGTTAGTAGAGGTAGATTCTTTGAAGTACTACAAGTCTCTAAAGTCTAGTTAAGTCAGGCCAATGTCTAAAGTCTAAATAAATATGGTCAGTCTCTATAGTCTAGCTAAAGCACGAGCTGTCTCTAAAGTCTAGTTAAAAGGTGCAGTCTCTAAAGTTTAGTTAAAAGGTGCAGTCTCTAAAGTCTAGTTAAAAGGTGCAGTCTCTAAAGTATAGTTAAAAGGTGCAGTCTCTAAAGTCTAGTTAAAAGGTGCAGTCTCTAAAGTCTAGTTAAAAGGTGCAGTCTCTAAAGTCTAGTTAAAAGGTGCAGTCTCTAAAGTCTAGTTAAATAAGGTGAAATCTATAAAGTCTAGTTAAATTAGGTCAAATCTCTAAAGTCTAGTTAAAAGTTTAGTCTCTAAAGTCTAGTTAAATCAGGTATTTGCAAAATATCGAAATCCACTTCCCAAATCTGCTTATCTCGTTTAAAAGCAGCTAATCTCATCTCAATTATAATTTCAGAGTCCGTCCACATTAACCCAAGTTCTATTCTTAGACCTAACTCTAACCCGAAATACCATTCCCCCCCCCCCCCCCAAACAGGCTAGTGGATTTTATGATTAAAATAACATAAATACGTCAGCAAATATCTATAGACACCATATTTGAACTTTACCACGTAGACGGTTGCTATGGTTACCTGAACGCCGTGTGTTCCTGGGACTGGTTGAACCCGATGTCTTCCTTGTTCTGTTCAATGATGCTCATCTCCACAGACTGTTGGAAGAGGTCCCTGGCCACAGCTTTGAGGACCCCTGGAAAAAAAACAAAAAGAACACCAGCAGTAATACAACAGACAAGCCTGCCTTTAAAAAATACCAGATAAATTTACGCAAGACTTTTGTTTGTCCGTATTTGGTTAATTCCAAGCTAGTAATTTAATATCTTTTAGCTTCTATTTCTCTAATGAACCCGGGTATTATCGAATAGGAAGATACTATTATTAATGTAACAAAGGAATTGCGTCACTGCTATTTTATTCTAATTTGATGATTACGCGGTTTTCTTTTAAAATACTGAAATAAAAACATAAAAAAAGTCTTTAAAATTATAAACCTAAGTAAAATAAGGTAACGTTACCCTTTCTGAGCTAACGGTCCATAAGGTATATAAAGTAGAGTTCATATTAGGCTATATATATATATATATATATATATATATATATATATATATATATATATATATATATATATATATATATATATATATATATATATTGATTTCGACATATGAAGGAATGGTGTAGTCAGCACCAGTGGCGTCACTAGGTCGAGTGTCACCCGGTGTTGCACATCGTGGTGTCACCCCCCCCCCCCCCCATCAAAGAAATAAAACCTTGGTGTCATCCCCCCTATATGGTGTCACCCGGTGCGATCCGCACCCCCCACCCTGCCCTTGCTAAGCATCTGGTCAGCACTATGCCCAGCCGACTTTACTTTCCCTAACGCGAATCGGGTACCCACCATAACTAGGTGGACTCAGGGACGATGGAGATCCGAACTCGAGCTAGAAATCGAGCACTGTATCACTCAACCACGCCGTCTACTCAAAACCTAGTATCTATCTTCTTCTAAATATATAATTCTCTTCATGGAAACCATAGAAAACACCACGCAGCTTAGCCACCACCGTCATCCCCACCTGTCAGGTGAGCTGTGGTTCACCCCGAATGTTTACAATCATAGAGCAGGGTTAGTGACGGCTATTAGGGGCAGATAATTTAGTATTAAACGATTTGAAACGAAGGGGAGGTAACAATTTATGATTGATCTTTTCTTTGTCTGTAAACGGCTGCTTTCAGTGGGCGGAAGGGGGGGGGGGGGGATGGAGGGCGGGAGGGGGTAGTGTTGAATTCACAAATTATGAATTGCTGATAAGCAGAAAATAAAACAACTAGATGGCGGCGTATACTACGTCGCGGGTCAACTCGTGAACAATAAACGATCACGTTTTTCTCACGAGAATTTGAAAAAATTAGTTCAACCAAACTACTGTTTACACGACAAACGCTGCCAACTCGCAGTTTGTTTGTAATCTGATTTAACTTCTACCACATGAGTAACCTTGACCTATAGTGATGAACTGGATAATGGGCTTCCATGTTGACAACTGTTTGCTGAAGTTCGACATGGTTGTAACATTGATTTTAACCAAGCCTAATTGTCTCATCTTTGTATGTAGACTGGTCAAAAAATCATACCATTATAAAGATTATTAGCTGAGATTAACTGTGCACAATGTTTTTTTACTTGCTAGAGCCAATAATTCCGTCGTTGGAAGTGAGCTGGTTTAGAGTTGAAATAGTTATAAACGAGCCGGCCCGCGGCATAACATACGCCGCTATTTAGTTGTTTCTAATTTTCAATAATTCATAATTTGTGAATTCGACAGTACCAACGCTGACACTGAAAATATTTCTTTAAAACACTATAAGTAGCTCGTTAAGGACCATAACCCCCCCCCCCCTTCCTTCCCTCCCCCCCCCCTCATCCCCCCTACGTTTAAAATCGTTGGCTCTGCTTGTAAACATTTAGAGTGAACACAGCTCACTAAAACCATGTAGGGGTGGGGAGGTAGGGAGAGCGTTTGCAGCTTGTTTTCTAACGGCTCGAAGAAGAGAATTATATATATAGATAGTATCGTTTTGGATGTGCCGTATCATATACATTTTAAGAATGACAATATAGTAATTAACCGAGGTTTCGATGCACAGGGGTATGGTGCTGTCAGAGGTGTGACTTTAATAGGTAAGGTTTGGCACACACGTGTAATTTGTGAAGTTTCTCTTTAGACTTAGAGATGCCACGGAAAGATGAAGTAGAATTCATATGTTTTTTGACATCGACGCCCAGACACGTTTTCTTTCTCTAACGTAAGTCAGATACCCATCGAAGCTGGGATGACTCAGGGACGTCATTCAGTCACAAGTCCAAACCGAGATCGGATCTCGAGACCTTCGAGGCTAGCAGCTAAACGCTCTATCATTAATCCACTCCATCCCTAACGTCTAATGCGTGCCGACGGTAAATAAAGAAAAAGTTATCATTTCGAACCTGATGGTCAATAGACTAGATGAAGTAGAGTTCACCTTTTTCGGTGACCTCCGCATGTAAAGGGACAGTGTGGTCACTACTATGCCATATTTATCATCTCTGATTTGGCCTGTAATTCAAAGATTAAACTCATTAATTGTTTCAGAATTTTATTTAAAAAAAAACCCACGGGTAGTTCATCGACTATCCCCAAGCTGTATATTCATACTTATGTTGGATTTTCATGTTTACAAAGACGGACGCATATACAAGTTGTTGCCTTTTTAAGTCCTACGAGCCGACCCGCGGCGTATCATACGCCGCTATGTAGTTGTTTTATTTTCTACTTTTCAGTAATTCATAATTTGTGAATTCGACCGTACCAACGCTGCCACTGAAAATATTTGCTTTAAAACACTATCAGTAACTCGTTAAGGACGATACCCCCCCCCCTCTTTTCCCCAATCCCCACCCCCGTGAAAGTAAACTCCTTTTAGTTACCTCCCTTAGTTTAAAATCGTTTCAAACTAAATTATTTGCCCCTAATAGCCGTCACTAAACCCAGCTCTACGATTGTAGACAATTAGCGTGAACCACAGCTCACCAGACCATGTAGGGTTGGGGGTGGTAGGGAGCGCGCTTACAGCTTGTTTTCTAGCGTCTCCAAGAAGAGAATTATATATATATATATATATATATATATATATATATATATATATATATATAGAGAGAGAGAGAGAGAGAGAGAGAGAGAGAGAGAGATTAGACAGCCATGTATGTGAGAACATAATATCCCGGGTTCTATTGAAACAAATCTTGGCACTGATTTAAGGGGCAATACCGAGCTCGCTATAATACAGATAGGAACGGCTTGGTTAAATTGTAGAGCTTACGGCTACCAACCCAACATGTCTCGAGTTTGGATCCCGGGTTCGAGTCTGTGGGACGTCTCTGAGTTCACCCAGCTCTGATAAGTACCTGACTCAGGTAAAGGAATCAAAAGCATTTAAGTGTATTGTTCACCACTCTATGAGCATTCTCGTCTAAGCTGAGGTCATTGACACAGCAAGATAAAACTTCACTGTGTCTTAGACACAGACAGTAAAAGAAGATAATGATAATACAAATATTTTTTTTATGTTTCCAATCAAAGCGCATGATGCACATCTTCCCACAACAAGAATAGAAATACGTGTATCGCTGGTTCTATAATGGACTTGATAAATACCCCAGATGAGATGTTTTAAATGAAACATGAGCCAAGAAATATATATTGGAAGAGTCTGGTTATGAATTTTAAAGATAAAGTAAACAGACGCACCTAGCCATTAAAACGTGAGGGGGAATAAAATTGCATTAAATGTAAACAGCTTCGTGCAAATGATGCACGGAATATCGCAATTAAAAAAGCGAAATTTAAACAAGAAATCTGCATACGCCTTCCTTCCCCAATTAATCAAAATGGCGAAAGTTAAACCAACCAATCGTTATTTGGTGACCCCAATCAAAATGGCGAACTTTAAACAAAACATCGCCCGGAGTTGACCCCATTAAAACAGTGAACCGTAAACAAACGATTGTTTAAGCACATATTTCAGCTGCTCACGTTTCCATGTGTGCGTGGCTCTCCTCGTGGGAATGTGATCGAAAGACCGAAAGAAGTTCAAGGACGACTGCTATTAATATAGAGGTCACTCGCGTGCAATAAATAACTGTTTTTTATTGAGAAAGCCAATCACCATTTTATGAACGATGACATCTTATTAACGCGTAGCCTTAAGATAGCCATCCATTAATTAAGTTAGCTTCTTCCTGAAAATTGTCAACAACCTCTGCCCAAATATGATATTTGCATCCATCTTTTACGTGATATTTGCACCCACTCTTTCATGGGGTGCTTCACCCACCAATTTCAATTAGCATTGCACCCATCCTCTTTCACATAGTCTTAGCACCCACCCCTTCAAGTGTTATTATACCCACCCCTAAAGTGCCATTGCACCCATCTTTTCACGTGTTACTTCACAGACTCTTCATATTGCACCCACCTCAGCATGTTGTATTGCACCCGCCCCTTTCTGTAGTCTTTGTGCACCCATCCCTTCATGTGGTATTGCAGCCATTCCTCACGTTGCATTTTACCCACCCATGTGCGTGTTATGCCACCCACCACTCACGTGCTATTGCACCCACCTCACATGTGTTATTCCACCCACCAATTCCCCTGGTATTCCACCCACCCCACACATGTTAACCACACACAATTATACCAGGTGTTGCACACACCATCACGTGGTATTCCACCCATCCCTTCCCGTAACACTTGCACCAAAACATCCAATATACTCCTAAAACTCGATCAGAGCGTTAAGCACATCTTCACCATATCAAAAAACCAATCAACCGTTGATGTGCTTTTGTGTGCCGGTCCACACAAGTCTGAATAGAAAACATCCATCCCACAAAACTGACTAAACAAATATCAATCCTAGATTCAACCCGCCACCTAACGCGAAAATCTTACTCATCCAGTAAAGCGTATCAGAGCCAATGGCATTTAAACAGCTCCTTAATGTTTCCACAGAGACGCACTCGGGCGTAAACGGCATTTCTCGTTGCTCTGTAAACTGTTTCATTTGAATCAGTGTCAAGGTCAGAATTTACTTGGATTTTTTGTTGTTTGTAAATGATAATATCTCGCGAGATTTGAGCTTGCTCTTTCATTGGTTATCTGAATACTTCCCAAATGAAAATGTCAGTTAGTACCCCCCAACTCATCACACACGATTTCTTTTTTTTTTTATTAACATTCAACCGCCTTTTCTTTCAAACAAGGGCATCAGTCAACTTCAGCATCCACACCACTCAATTAGAGATAATCAGACATCACAAACACAATCCCATTCTCAACTGACTTTCGTTCACAAGATGGGCAACACATTAGTGTTTAACACTGGTTGTTCTTCACTGAATATATCCTGACCTTTAAACCCTGTTAACAAAATAAACAGGGAACGTAACTCTGTCATTCCTCAGTAACGATAACTGACTTTACAAACGAAGTAGTTGGGTTGATCGATCGAGTCCAGAAGATCTGAGTTGTGCCGCATGGGTACCCAACACAACTATCTAAGTTATTCTCTGGTGATTTCACGAGCTTTAAGTTGGCAGATTTAAGAAAGTCCACAGTCACAATTGTAGTTAAATGTGGTGTGTTGACAATGTCCAGTCTAGTTTTCTCTTTAGGTTAATACATCTTAACAATGTGTGGAATGAGAGGGGTGGCCTAGCGGTAGAAAACTATACTGCGAACCCGAAAGTCTCGAGTTTGAATCCGGTTTAAAGTCATTAGGACGCTCCTGAGTCCACCCTGCCATGAGGGGTACCTAACTTACTTTAAGGAAAGCAAAAGCGGCTGGTATAGTACTGACAAAACCTTCCAATCTTATGCCGAGGTAAAACAAAAACATATTAACTCTACTTCATCAACCAAAAAAACCGCTAGGTATAGATTGGAACTTTACTTTTAAACCAAAAAACATATTCCCAATTTCTTTGTTGATTTTAAATCTGTCTCGGCAAACTTAAAATAACTAAATTTATGGCACTACCTTCAACTTAGAAAGTTAAGAATTGTGTTTCATTTGTCAAAAATAAACAACTAATTGGTAACTGCATTTCATTAAGTTTAAATAAAATGTATTTTTATAATTATATTGAGAACTATATACGTGATGTGTTTTATTTTTAAGTACTTAAACACAAAGTAGAAAAATATTTGAAACCTAATATTCACAACAGCGCAATGCAGTAAGATATTATTGAAAACAAAAATGAACGGATTATCCTATAACAATGAGATGAAAAAAAATCATCTGCTCGCATAGTAATAAAAAAAATGATTGAATGATCTATCGATTACTTTGTTCTATTACAATACACTACCCTGCAGCCTCACCCTTATAATGAAATAACTGTCTTTTTATTTCATATCCAATTTATTTTATTTTCACTATCCCGCCATCAATCGCTGTATTGACTTGGATTGGCTGGTTGGTTGGAAGGGGGATAATGGTGTATAAATAACTGGTCAATGGCGGTAATTGATTGCATGTATGATCGGTGCGGTCAGGGAATGTTTGTGGAGTACCGTGTGGGGAGATTGATGGGGGACACGTTGTGTAAACCTGGGGGGGGGGGGGGGGGGGGCTGTTAGGGTGGTTTTCTTCAAACATGGGAAAATTGATAGGGCCACATTCTGTAAACCTGGGATGATTGTTAGGGCCACATTATGTAAACCTAGGATGATTGTTAGGGCCACATTATGTAAACCTAGGATGATTGTTAGGGCCATATTATGTAAACCTAGGTTGATTGTTAGGGCCACATTATGTAAACATAGGATGATTGTTAGGGCCACATTATGTAAACCTAGGATGATTGTTAGGGCCACATTCTGTAAACCTAGGTTGATTGTTAGGGCCACATTATGTAAACTTGCGGAGATTGTTAAGGCCACATTATGTAAACATAGGATGATTGTTAGGGCCACATTATGTAAACTTGCGGAGATTGTTAAGGCCACATTATGTAAACATAGGATGATTGTTAGGGCCACATTATGATTATGAAAATATTTCTTTTTTTTTTAATTTACAGATAATAGTTTTTGGCTCAATAGTATGTGTATATTTAGTAAGCTTCACTTTTTAAACATCTTATCCACGAATTAACGCTAATGAAAAATAAACAAGTATTTTATAACAAGGTTTAAATGCTCTATAAAATTGTACAAAGGATTGCACGGATAAGTTCTGACCACGCTATCTCTTCATATACTAAGGTAAATTAAACAGATGAAGTCTACTTCACCCACAACCATTTAAGAAAAAAAGGGTACTTTACTAGGAGAAGAAAATAGGCTGTACTAATATATTGCTAATCCCTTAATCAGTCGTTGCTTAATTAATCCCTTAATCAATCGTATTTTAATTATTGCTATTAACTCGCATGCAGATCGCATGCTATTACCCGCCACTATAGATTTCTCGCCCTGAATCAGGAAGTGCTTAGTGCTGTGCAGATTATAGATTGTTTTCAGCGCACTTTAGCCACTGCGCACTTTAAACACTGAGTACTTTAACCACTGCGTACTTTAACCACTGCGCACTTTAACCATGTTATACCTATATTACTAGTACTTATAAGTAGGCCCTACTGTAGTTTAAGGAGTCTAGTTTTTCTTTTTTCGAAATATGTAACGGGCATGTAATGGTGGGCATTAAAAACAGATGCTGATGTACCGGGAAAAAACGTTGTCCGTCTTTTCCAATATATCGGATGGAGAGTGGCTTCCCTTGCTGATGTGTGTGGATGTGTGGCAATCAATGTGTGTGTGTGAGAGTGTGTATACATTCTACTTCAACAATATCCACAATATAACTTTAAACACTGGGATTCAAAGTTGAAACTTCCGTACCTTCAACAATGGGATACTTCTGCGACCAATACCTTTGTCAGTGTGATACAAGCCTATATAATATTATCATTGACAACTGGATACAAGCGGGGATCGTCATGCGTTTGACAATGATATACACCAACGAGCAATGGGATTAAGCTTAGATAACCATACTTTTAACAATGGGATACAAACTTAGATAGCCAAACCTTTAACAATGGAATACACACTTAGATAACCATACCTTTAACAATGGGGTACAAGCCGGGCCGCCCACTGTAGTAATGAAGTATCAGCTCCCCATTGTGTCCATCTTCGCATCTAAAAATAAATTTAAAAATATAAGACATATTTATATTGGCTGATGCCCACTGTAACGCCCATTTCTATTGGCTGAAAGCCTCACTCCATTAGACTCATCGCCGCGACGGACCTCCAAGAAGAAATATTTCCAACGCGAATGTTTGTTTGCGTAGGAATGTTCGGAGAAAGGGGTGAGAGATCTCAGACAACATGCAGAGCAGTGTAGGGGAAATAAAATATAAGCCTGTGTGTGTTCGGGGGATGGTTTAGAATTAATCGTGAATAGGTGCGTTTGCCTTGCACTAAAAGATGTGTGAATCTTGCTTGACGGAGAAGAGCTAGCTCTTCTTGTTAAACGTGCTTAGTCACTTAACATTGATTTTTTTTCTGGACATCCTGTTTTAAAAAAAGTTTGAGTCTGTAATTCTTAGAAGTTGAGATCGGTTTTACTGCTTAAAAACGTAATTTATATGTTTATCTTTTTGAAAAAAAATGCTTTAAATACTGTGCTGGCACTTAATGTATCATTGATTTTTCTAGACATCGTCTTTTTAAAAGGTCTTGTCTGCAATTCTTAAAAGATTGGTGTTACTGTTTAAAAACGTAATTTTGATGTGTTTTTTTAAAATAAAAAATGGTTTAAATATTGTACGTTGTCACTTAACATTGCTATTCTGGAAATCGTCTGTTTAAATAACTGCTTTAGCCAATCTCAAAATTCTACCTTTTGTTTTACAGCTACGATTTTTTTTTTCTGAAGTTTATCGTTTCGAACAAAACGTTTTAAAGTACTGTATGTAGATTGACGATTTTTGAGCTTAAAAGAAAACAATCAACAACATCGCGAAGTTGTTAGTGAATATGGTGAAATCTCTCACATCAGTTTAAAATTTATATTGAATGTATGTACATATGTAATGATGGTCACATTATTTTGTTACTAAACGTAATTATTTTTCCTCTTTAAACTAAATTCTATAATTTAAAAATTCATGTATAATTTTTTTTAGATATCCCAATCATCTACCGGCAATATTTTCACAAATATCTGAAATCAGCACTCACAGAACGATACGACACAACCTTGACACCTAAGCACTAGATGTATCGGCGCATCGGATATATCGATCTAGCATGTCCTCTAGTGCATGTCTATATGATTAACGTTACCTGCTCATTATTAATTAATTATAATTCATTAGCTGGCTTTTGATAGATAGCGTAAATCTATAGTAATTTCTAAAATATAATTTATTCCACATCTGAAATATTTATGTATTTTGAATAGTTTTTAAATTCATTTAATATATGTGTCGCAATTTGTAATCTAATATCTTTTAAATTATGAATACACTTTTTGTGGTTATTTCTTTCTAAGCCCGATGAAATGAGATAAACAGGGATTTTTAAAAAAATTTAAAAATTGTTTGAAAAAATAATGTTTTAAATATAATTTATTGATTTTTTTCAACCATCCATGCGTAAATTAATCCTCACAAATTATGGAAAAAAAATTTGTTCTAAAAAAAAAATTACCTGAATGAAGGGGCCGCAATCCCCTTGTAGCTGAGAGCTAAAAGGGAGTGAAGCGAGTCCAAGTTTTGAATGAAGCTTTTGATGTCGCTGCCTAGAGTGCGCAGCATCTTGTCGTACCCGTGACGTAGGCAGTAGTCGAAGAAGAACTCGCCGAAGATTTCCAGAACCGTCTCCACCGGTACGCCTAGGGTTAGACCACAAGGTAATCAGATCTTGGACAGGTTAAGTGGCATCAGGTGGTTATCAACAGGGCAGGTGAAGTAGAGTACACCTGTTTCAGTAACTTCCCCAAGTGGGGGATAGTGAAGTTTGTTCCCAATGTGGATCAGGTACCCCATCCGAGCTGGGTAGTCTTAGGGACTTTCGGGTTGCTTCCATTTCCCCAATGTCCCGCTCTACTTCCACCCCCCTCCCCCCACCCCCCACAGCTACAAGACTATATTAAGCACACAATTAATGATAACCAAAGATTCCAATTATCTTGTTACAATTTTTCATTAAAGGATTTAGGCTAACTCTCTCTCTCCCTCTATGCGCAAAGCTGACGTCCATCATGAATTGTGTTCAATATTGTTCAGTTTAGTCATCACCCATAAATTGCATATTTACTAGCAAAATTTACCTGGGTTTAATTCAGTGTGTCCGACACAGGGACTCTGGACACGTATAACCTACCTACTGTGTCGCACACATTTGGGACACTTAAAAGTTACCTAGTGTGTCCGACAATGAATCTTTGAACACTGGTGTGTCCGACACATTGAATGTAAATACTTATGACCAACCTTATTTGTCCGACTTTTAAAACTTGGATACATATTACCTACCTAGTGTGTCCAACACAGAGTATTAGACACTTATAACCAACATAATTTGTCCAACATTACAAACTGTCTACATGTAAAAACAACCTAATGTGTCCTACATACAAAAAATTGGACACATGTAACCTACCTAGTGTGTCCGACACAGAGAATTAGACACTTAAAACCAATCTTATGTCCGACATTAAAAACTAGGGGCACATAAAACCTACTTAGTCTTAGTGTGTGTCCTGCAATGAGAATTAAGCCATATGTAACGAACCTAGTGTGTCCGACACAAACTTAAGACACATGCAACCTACCTAGTGTGTCCTACACACACTTGAGACACACGTAACCTACCTAATGTGTCCGACATTAAAAAATTGGACACACAAAACCTACCTAGTGTGTCCCACATAGAGCACTAGACACATAAAACCAACCTAATGTGTCCGACATCTAAAAATTAAGGACACATTGAACCTACCTAGTGTATGTGTCCGGCAATGAGACTTTAGGCATATGTTGCGAACTTAATGTTTCTGACACAAAATTTAGACATAAGTAACCTACCTAGTGTGTCATACACATTTTATAGACACATGTAACCTACCTGGTGTGTCCGACACAAAGTTTAGACACACGTAACCTACCTAATGTGTCTGACGCTAACTTTAGATACACGTAACCTACCTAGTGTGTCCGACACAGAGCATCAGACACGTAAAACCCACATAATGTGTCCGACATAAGACAATTTAGACACGCACAACCTACCTAGTGTGTCAGACAAAAAATAATGTGGACACACGTAACCTACCTAGTGTGTCAGACAAAAAATAATGTGGACACACGTAACCTACCTAGTGTGTCAGACAAAAAATAATGTGGACACACGTAACCTACCTAGTGTGTCAGACAAAAAATAATGTGGACACACGTAACCTACCTAGTGTGTCAGACAAAAAATAATGTGGACACACGTAACCTACCTAGTGTGTCAGACAAAAAATAATGTGGACACACGTAACCTACCTAGTGTGTCAGACAAAAAATAATGTGGACACACGTAACCTACCTAGTGTGTCAGACAAAAAATAATGTGGACACACGTAACCTACCTAGTGTGTCAGACAAAAAATAATGTGGACACACGTAACCTACCTAGTGTGTCAGACAAAAAATAATGTGGACACACGTAACCTACCTAGTGTGTCAGACAAAAAATAATGTGGACACACGTAACCTACCTAGTGTGTCCCACACAAACTTTAGACACATTTAACCTATCTAGTGTATCCGACGAAACAAATTGGACACACGTAGCCTACCTAGTGTATCCGAAACAGAGCATTAGACACACGTAACCTACCTAGTGTCCGACATAAACTCTAGACACATGTAACCTACCTAGTGTAGTGTGTCCCACACACATTTTAGACACACGTAACCTACCTAGTGTGTTCGACACAAACTTAAGACACACGTAACCTACCTAGTGTGTCCGACACAAACTTTCGACACACGTAACCTACCTAGTGTCTCCCACACAAAGTTTAGACACACGTAACATACCTAGTGTGTCCGACACAAAGTTTAGACACACGTAACCTACCTAGTGTGTCCGACACAGCTCCCACAAGATTGAATGTACTGGTATCATCATACCGGTTGAACATGAGAAAACTCGCATGTTCATCCAACTTGGACTTCTTCCTAGAGAACACATTCATGAACATTGTTAAACAGTGGTGTAAAGTGTTATACAGTGGTTTATTAAACGTGACATTGTTATACAGTGGTGTAATAAACGTTACATTGTTATACAGTAGTGTAATACACGCAAAAGTGTTATACAGTGATGTAATAAACAAAACATTGTTATACAGTGATGTAATAAACAAAACATTGTTAAACAGTGGTGTAATAAACCACAGTGTTATACAGTGGTGTAGTAAATGCAACAGTGTTATTCAGTGGTGTAATAAACGCTACATGTTATACAGTGGTGTATTAAACGTAACAGTGTTATACAGTGATGTAATAAACAAAACATTGTTATACAGTGGTGTAATAAACGCTACAGTGTTACACAGTGTTGTAATAAACTACAGTGTTATACAGTGGTGTAATAAACACAACAGTAATATACAGTTGCTAAAGAGGTGGAACAGAGGATGGGGGTAAGCGGGGGTGGACTGGCTGTGTCCAAAAGACCCGGGGAATTTTAATAGTGACCTTTAACCCCAGATAAAAATAAATCAATCTTTAAGCCTTTTTTTCACCTTCAAAGTCTGATGATCATTCTCAGCTTGATGGGGATCCATGCGAGAAATTATTTTTAAAAAATCGAAACATTAATAAGCCTAAAACCGTATTGTTTATTAGGGCCGACCGGGATTTTTTTTTTACGTGGGGGCGTTCCGGGATTTTCCTCGGTAAACCGGCAGGCCAGTCGTAGGAATTCTGAAAAGGCGACGCCGTCAACTTTATAAAACATCAGCATTAAGACTCATGTTCATCCAAGTTTGACTGGCTGCTAGAAAACAAATAAGCGGTTATAGTGCTATATAATAGCGCAGTGGTGAACGTTCGCTAACGGCAGTTACATTCCATTCTATGAACGTACATCAAACTTGGTTCTTTTTTATAATTTTGCTTTTTGATTCTAGTCGAGAACTTAGAACCATATCTTACTTTCTATATCACTAAAAGCCGGCACATTGTACAATTGTACACATTTTAAACCACATTATTGTCTATTTCCGATTCCCCCTTATAACACTAAGGCTACCTAATACATCACACGCAAATGATAAAGTTCTTAAGTGTATTTAATTAGTATTATTAACACTGTAATATCTAAATAGTATAACTAACACCGAAGTATTGATTATTATAAATAACACTGAAATATTAATTAGTATAATTAACACTGAAATATTTAATAAATGAAGCATCTTCCTATACTAGTTATAGAAGGACGCCATCTGTCAAAGAAAACACTAAGTACCAATCAGTAGTGCTAACCGTATAGGAATACGGTTGTGCCATTGGGTGAGTCAGTACTGCTTTAATTAGACGTCAAGCTGAACACTAGCTAGGGGTTCGAGTAGAACGTGGGGGTATTTTTGTACGAAGTCTTTTGTCAGGTACCAGCTGGGGGTTGTCCATAAATGACTTGCTGCTATTTTAGGAAATTATTTTACACAATGCCCAATCCACTAACACTTAATATTATGACACAAAGTTCCTAAAATGAATTTCATCAGAAGGTAATTAACGCATCGTAATGATTTTATATCTTAAATTATCGAAATGTCATATTCCTAGACTCCCCCCTCCCCCCCCCCCCCCCAAGGCTTACCACTCCTCGCCTCCAAATTCTTAACGATCCACTTAGGTGTGTCACGTCATTTACGGACCCACCCCAATATCCAAGAATTCTGGAGTCAGTGAGTCTTCACAGCGGTAAGTCAAGAAGTCAGGCGTCAGTAAGTCTTAACTAGGCCAAGTCAAGAAATCAGGAGTCAGAGCGTCTTAACAGCTGTAAGTCAAAAAGTCAGGCGTCAGTAAGTCTTTACTAACGTAAGTCAAGACGTTAGGCGTCAGTAAGTCTTTACTAAGCCAAGTCAAGAAGTCAGGAGTCAGAGCGTCTTAACAACTGTAAGTCAAGAATTCAGAAGTCAGTAATTCTTAAAAGCGTCCAGTTAGGAAGTCAGGCGTCAGAATTTCCCTTTGATAACCCTGTCAAGTCAGTGATTCTAGTTAATACAAATTGTAATAAATCAGGTAGGTAAACAAACAAATACTTACAGTATAATTTCCCACGCCTCGTTTCCAAATTTAGTTTGTACCAGTTCCCGAATGACACAGTGGATCTGCCCGTACTGTAAACATACAAAAAAAAAACAACACTGACCACGTGGTATTGTTAAACAGATACCAGTCATTACACACAAACCCCTACCTAGATATGCACAAAACAGTGTTACTCTCAAACTAGTCCATACTATTAAGCACATATCAAACAACATACAAAACGACTAGGCCATAATGTTGACATTACATCTCTCTTTACATGCATGAGATATTCATTAAAACACATATAATGGTTACACACATACTGTTTAACTGATATGTCATTAATTGCTACACACATACTTGGCTATACACTAAAGCACGTTATATGTTACTAAATTACATTTGGCCTGATATAATGTGCCTCTATGTCTTAATTAACCGCCTCGAGAGTTCACTAATTAATTAACTTCTAGAGCTCTATTATACAAATATTTATAGTCAATACGTTTTCCTCAACATCTTTATGAATACTAAAAGATTGCACAACTAAAAGCTAGTCGTTAAAACTTGTTAAAAAGTATGCTAAGTTAATGAATAAACAGTTCAAAAGAAGTGTTGCCTTGTCCTTTAGACCAGTTTTCAGTAAAAAAAATGTTTCGAATACGTTGTACAGATTTTGATTTCCTTCTAATTAATAGACTGTTGATTGAGTTCCGGTGAAGTGTGAAAAGAAAGTTAAAAAATGAAATCCGGAACGTTATTTAAAAAAAAATTCTTTTCAGCCTCTTTTAACAAAACACATTCGAAAAATTGATCGTTCAATTAAAATTTCCATCTTTTAAAGCGATGCTCAATTTATAAATAAGCTACAGGGCTTTGTTTTAAGTTTAAACACAACAATTTAATATGACACATCAAAATATTAACTATAGTTTATTGAAAAAGAAAACCGGTGGGTGAAGGAGGGGCGGAAGGGGGGGGGGGGGCAAATCTAAAATTACTATAGGAATAAAAATGTATATTATATATTAAATTTGTTTCTTAAAAGTTAAATTATTAACAATTTAAAAATAGTTGAGCTGACAAAAAATATGCAAACGTCTTTGAAAACATATAACCGAAATAAAGGTTAAGCTATATAACATGTGTAAACTAATTGAAGTTTTCTGCTAATACGGCTGAATCACTTCGGAAATCCGTTTGAATTTAATGTTAGATTAATTTAACATCAAAGAAAGCAAGGGACATAACTACAGGGAGGCAGTATTTTTCTCGACAGAACGATACATTTTTTGTGTTGGCTCTCGGCTTAGTGGCTGCAGTGTCTGGAATGGGTTCTGTGAATAAATATTTTCGTTTCTGTTTGTGTTGCTGATTTCAAACAGACAAAAAAAAAGAATATAAAAAAGAAATAATGTTGGAAGTATTTTGATTAAATTTTTACATGGGAGTTTAATCTTAAAGACATCAATGACTAAGATTCAAATTGTGTATACATCGTAGGGAGAAATTGGTAAATAATTTAAAAACACCCTAGCTGGGAGTATTAATACTGTAAACATTTGTATTTACTTTTCAAATAATCATAAATTTAAGCGAGTTTGCCATATTAAAATTAATCTCTCACAATAACCCCATAAAACTATAACTTTAAAAAACAAAAATTAATATTTACTTTTGGGAAATTTTGTTTTGAATTTCTTTTTTTTTTTGGTTATTGTTCACAGTTACTGAATTACCTATGTGTTCTCTAGATCACTGGCACGGTACTCCTCTTAAATTAACAACGTCTAGTAAAGATTAGAGTAATTTCTATGAATTATTTGTCATTACACCGAGATATTGTTTGCTTGGGACAAATATTGTTTTGTTTCTTTTGGTACTTCTATTACTTCGTTTATTTAGGGTTTTGCATGCATATTTGTTTAAGATATTTTTGCTTTATTAAATTGTGTTCATCCTTCTTTTCTTTTATTGATTTTTAAAAATTGTGTTGTGATTGTGCGTTCCTTCTAGCTATTTTTTAATTGTTTGACATAAGCACTATGTCCAGCAGCCTTTAATTTCCCTAACTTGAATAAGCCACCCATCAGTACTAAGTGGACTCAGGTAAGTCCTAAATACTCAAGTTACAACCGGGATTTGAAATCGAGACATTCAGGTAGTCAGCTGAGAGCACTACAACCCGACCAGGACGGTACACAATTATTTATGTGTTGTATTTTTGTCAAGTAATTATCAGGTAACTGATTTCAACATAATGGTAGTGTCGTTCTAGTTTTGAAGGACTGAGTAGATTTAACTAATGTTAGTACATTATACTGACAGCATTGAGGTATGTTTTCTAGCTTACCGGTGTCAGATATTGTCACATAAATGGATCATTTCTAAAATTAAAGATGTTTAATTACCGGTAGTAAATAAAATACAAATATAAACTGCTGTAGTCAACTTTATCCCTAACCCAACCCCAAATTAAAGTCCTACTATAGCCCTAAACCTAATTTATTTAACATAGCACAGTGGTTCTTAACCTAAGTTCGGTCAAACCCCAGGGGTTCGGTGAGTCAGGCTTAGGGTTCGGTGTAGGGCAAAACACAAACCCGACTCAAATGATTCAAGATCGGATTTTATTATTGTGTACAATTAAACTATAAAGACGGTTTCGGTGTATGCGCATCTGAAACTGGTGGGGTTCGGTACCTCCAAATAGGTTAAGAGACTAACATATATACATGCTATTTCAAAACTACTAACACAATGACACAGATATTTTCAGACGAGTCTATTAAGTGACACTGGTAAAACAGATACAAACTGAGACAACCATTTTCACTTGTTAATGTTTCAAAATCTAAAAACAGACTGAAGTCTTCAACTTGTTTTGGTAGTAATGTTACCCCCGGGCATACGAGAAGCTAACACGAGCGAGAACATGTCTGGTTGGACAAGGTCAAGGCCAGTTAGGCAATACGAGCAGTCATTAGGGGTTTCAATATTTGATTAGGATGACCGGATGTTGGCTAATTAGTGTCCACTTACAATGATTAATTAATGTTATACTGGGTGTAATCTTACTAGCGTGTAAAAGTTGTTGCTCATGGTTGAGAATACTCCAGTTATAACATAAATATATTTTAGCTTTTGTACCGAATAATCAACTTAATATACTGAATGGCCGATGTTTCTTGAAGACAGATATCTTGTTATTTTGATGTATTGTTACACTTTTTCCATAAAACGGGCGAAAATAAACAGTCAATATATATATACTGAATTGAACCCGGAATCGAACTCGAAACTTTTGGATTAGCAAAACCTGTCATACTATTTCACACTAGCAAAACCTGATGCGTTTAAATCTTTTGAGACATATTCCCATATAATTACACATTTACTTCATTTTTTTTTCCTCTAAAAAAGTGTCAAATCTACATTCTAATAGATAATTCTTTATTACCTTAAACCCTAAAACCGGTACAGAGTGATAATAAATACATCTATTCCACAATAACCCTTAAACAACCCATTTTTCGATGAGAACTTTAATCTTATTTAAAAAAACATTTCGACCTAGTAAACCACATCCTTTTGAACCCTGAAAGTGCATTAAATATATTACAAATATTAAGCATCCATTTTAAAGTAATGTATTTCTGGTGCAATGCCATTCGTACTGTAATAACGTATTATATTCTCCACATCGGTAACATTTGAAAATACACTTTGCACTTAAAACCTATTATCAGTGGCGTCATTCAAACATACATTTGCATATGTACTTTGCCATTGTGCATTATAAAGCTAAATGCTAAAAAAAAAACGCGTTAGATTGATGACGGTATCTGCAAACTGGCAATTCGATCTAGAAATCCAATGCAGGAAAAATCTGGCCATCATATCCGCGAGTACCGGCTCAGACACCCCAGGATCAAAGTGCCATTAGCTAGTATCGAACAGTTGCGTGTCGCGACATCTACATCCCATAAATTGTCGTGTGCCAACGCTTACACTCCTTGTCTACCCCTGCTCGCCATTATAAAAACACGTTCGCGATAAATTTCCTCTATTTTGTGATACTTTTACTGTCAGATATAAGCGTGGATGTAAGTATAGGATACTTTGTGGAGTGATGAATACATCGACGGGTAATGCATTTCTTGTCTGGAGTTTAAACCTGCTCTAGCGTTCGATGTTTTGATTTTTTGTTTTGATATTGAGGAGACGGAGTCTGTATGGCGAACACTTGAGAAATTATGGCCGTAGCGTTGAAGAATAAAACCGTTTAGAATATCGTCCATTGTTTGTGGAGGTTCGTAAAGAAAAACGGGCATGAATTGTAAGGGATTATTTTTTTTAAAGATGCGTCTGCATTTTTATTTCTTGATGATGGTGCAGTTTTCTCCAAGAATAAAACAAAACAAAACAAAAATATGTATACAAACAAATAAACAAAAAATAAATAAACATCGCTTTTTTGTTTTAAAATCACAATTGTCTGCCTTAATAGAGTCTAGACAAAAAGCTGAACTTGAGATTTGATAAATCGAATTTGAACACTCTACCAGTAAACAAAAGCATTTGTTGTTTATAATAATGGCAAGCCATTTTAATAGTTTTACTAGGTAATTGCCTGAAGTTAATTTTTTTGTATGTTTGTTATCCTAGCATATCCTAGCATATTCATGAAGACGCCTTGACATAAAGTTCTAAGACTTTAAGTAAAAAAAAAAACTGCACAGAAACAAAAGCTTTTCCCACCCCGCATATTTTCTATTTAAAAACCTAATGAAAAAAAAAAAAACAACTCTCTGAATTTCTAACAGTTGTAACGGCAACTTTTTGTCTGATGTTTTCGTTCAACACTTTTTAAATTCAAATCTCATTTACATTTGTTTGCGGAATAAACAATAACGACAAATCTGGAATCACACTTTAAAATGTTGGCATCAAACTACACCCCGCCCTTTAAAACAGCAGACAGTACTGAATCTATACAATAGACCCCAAGGACAGCCTTCAAACCTCCATATTTACAACGTCATTATCACGTGTTTCCCGTCTGATTTATCCATTTGCCCTCCACGTTAAGAACAAGAGCAGAATGGCGATGAAATGGACCAGAATATCGTGGACTGGAACCACGAGGCAGCGAGTGGACCATAGTTTTACAGGCGAATCAATCAAACAGGAAATTAAGAAACTTGTCTACAATCTGATATTACTGCATAATGCGTGCATACAAAAACAAACCCCAATCCAGGCAAAAAAAAAGGAAAACAAAATTAAATCAACCAGCCACACAGCTAAAAAATCCACCATTGTTGACTTCTGGGCTCTACATTTTCCTACTTAAGCCCCTGTTTCCTCCTCTATGGCGTCTACTATAATCTACGAAAACAGAGTTATCGCTCTTGCATTTCCCTTGTATGATGTCACCGACAATGCATCATAGAATTTTTTTTTATCTCCATTTTATTTTGTTGGTGGAGTCTCGTGTCATGATTCCATCTTAGTTTTTAACGTTATGGTTTCTAGACAAAAGTAATGGAAGAAAATAATACATGTTTTTGAGAGATCTCTTGTTCTATCGGTGAATAGCTCTTAAACATGTCAGTCAGTTTACTTATCCAGTAATCATCAGTTACTGCACGTATACGTACAGAGGTGAAGAGAGAAGTGAACATTGATTTATTTTCTAATCGGCTGCCGTGAAATAATGTATACTGCGGAGGGACGGCGTGGTCGAACGGTAGGGCTTACGACTGCTAGCCCGAAAGTCTCAAACTCGGATCCCGTGCTCGAGTCTGTAGGAAGGCCCTGAGTCCACAGTTCCATTGTGTATCTTCATGTCAAAGTAATTAAGATGGTTAGGCATAGCGCTGACCAAACTATCCAACTGTATGCCGAGGTCTGTGAAACAGATTAACTCTACTTTATCTGCTCCATCTGTCTTGGCCACGAACGGGATGATGAATGGATATGTTGTTTTTTTTATAAACTAATTAACTTAGATTTGTTTGACTAAGTTAGTTATACAAATGTGTCTTTGGTTAAAAAATATAATGACCTTATTTTGATCATATTCAGACCTTCATATTCACACATAGTCAAGACACTACTGATTTTAATAACCATGCTAAGTATAACTAACTAAGTTAGTTATACAAATGTGTCTTTAGTTAAAAAATATAATGACCTTATTTTGACCATATTCAGACCTTCATATTCACACATAGTCAAGACACTACTGATTTTAATAACCACGCTTCTAACTAAAACATGTTATATGTTCGTTATTTAATTTTTAAAAAAAAAGATGAAAAGGAAGGAAAAAAAATGTAACCATACATCATTTTTGTGCTAAATCTATCAGAATTTTTTTTATCTCATTCTGGCGGTATCTAGAAAACATTTGTCTCAAACGGAAGAAGTGACTTCACAAGTCAGGATGACTGATGACTTCGGTAACTTCAATACCTCACGGTTGGGTCTGGTTGTTAGAATAACATTTCCGCTAAACTTCCTGTAAAATGTGGGCGTAGCCTGTTTATTAGTTAGGAATTATTAATTGTGTTTTTCACCCGTTTTGCTCATGATAAATTGCGTCGGACTGTTTTATTTTTTTTTAAATTCGACAACGAGGACAAAAGTAAAAACGTCTTTGATATTTTTTTTTCTATGTGGGTTTTGTATCATTAACCTGACAACCGATTACGACCTTAGTCTTAAAACTTGTCATTGCTTAAGGATAGACACCACAGATAGATTTTTGTTTTAATTTAACATGTTTCAGTGTGTTTAATAGAACAATGTGTTAATAGTTGTAAACCCATAGGCAAAAAATAATTTATATACTCCAAACAGCAGTACTGGTTGCCATGTTATATTTAAACATATACGACTTATTAACCTTCTTTATGTTCAAGTAATAAATTACTAGATAAAACCTACGTACCACATTAATATACCAGTAATAATTTAACATTCACATTCTAATTACAACATTAATGTACCAGTAATAATTTAATATAATATTCACAATGTACTTACCACATTAATACACCAGTAATAATTTAACATTCACAACCTACTTACCAAAATAATACACCAGTAATAATTTAACATTCACAACATACATATCATATTAATTCACCGCTTGTTATTTAACATTCACAGCTTACATACAACATTAATATACCAGTAATAATTTAATATTCACAACCTACTTAGCCTATTAATATACCAGTTATAACTTAATATTCACAGCCTACTTACCCCATTAATATACAAGTAGTAATTTAATATTCACAACCACCTTACCATGTTTATCTGCAGGTATGTGAAGTTTTCTACCCAGTGTGTGTGTCAGACATGTTAGCACCTGGTCAGTTGTTGGTCAGTCACCAGCTAATCCCTCATGTATGTCAGTGATCGATACTTGAGAGCCGATCAACAGACTGTGACATTCTCGCTGATCAGTCGACGTATCGTGTCCGCTTCACTGGTTCCAGTCGCGATTTCTGGGGGAGAATATGGTTAAATATGTACAATCTATACTTTAATAAAATAATAATGTGAATATATATAAGTGTTCATATTGAGTTATTATAATACTTTAAACAGGATTTGTGTTAAAATATAATATATTCGCCCATAATAATACCCATATATTCATTCATACTTGAATGATACTTACTTTAAAAATAAAATGTATTTAAATCTTTTTTTTTAAAATAAAAATTAACAAATGCAATAAAAAATGTAAAAAAAAAAACCAACAAAAACCAAACGAAAATCTGTTTTTCTTTATTAAAGAATAATTTCTTATTTTACATTTAACATGATAAAACGGAACCAGGGAACCAAAAGTAGTGTCAGTGTTTCTTTCAGACTTTTTTCTCCGGGAGTGGAGGGGGAGGAACAACAACTAATATTTCCGGGGGCTACGGGCGGACTGGTTAAAAGTATTTTCTTAAAATATTTTCAATTTGAATTTTTATTTCGTTCAGAGGGAGGGGAATTGGGAATCTGTTAACGGGCGCCTCCCCCACTTTTGCCCGCCGAAGAGAAGTCTGAAAGAAACACAGTTAATGTTGGCGAAAATATAATAATTATTTTTTTAAATGTTAATGTCACACCTCACAACTGTACTATGTGCTTAAGAAAAAACAAAAAAACCAGTAATTGCTTGCAATATGTTGACTCAAACCTTTCGGCGCTAGAACTTGTAAACACCATTCGTTAACACCAGCTCAACTAATCGATCAAGTGATTGATACTACCTAGTCATCGCCTCATGTGCATTAGGATACAGTGATCATTTAATCGATTTTAAACGAGAATATAAGATTTCACAGTCGGTGCACCTTTATAAATGGGCCTTTATTGTTTACTAGATCAGGCTTCACGTTTTAAATGGGACAGATAAACAAACTAATCGTTGCTCTGATTTAAGAAAGTGAGTAAAATTGTCATGAACATATTTAAAATGACTGACTTATTTGAGTAGTAAAAGTTGATAGCCTTTTAGAGTTTATTTAACAATGTCGCAACAGATGTGCCGTGGGTAGAGGCAGAGTTGGTAAGGTACAGTTGCTTAAGAGCTATAGGTTCTAAACATTATATGCATCTAACTCGTCTAGAAAGTTATAAGAACACATTTTTTTTTCTAGCTTTTATACACTCAAATGTTATAAATTTTGATTTTAATTCGCAATGACTAAATAATTATGTTTCATATATATATATATATATATATATATATATATATATATATATATATATATATATATATATATATATATATATGCACATAGTTTCTAGAAGTTTCATCTTTTGATCAAACTTGAGCAATTTCCTGTCCTGATTTGATTTCCTGGTTAGCTGGTGATTGACACGGCAGGGGCTATCTGCTGCTGATGAGAGGCCCAGAAATTAGGAATAATGGTCTTTGAATGAGACGTGTGGCCGTTTTTTGATGGATTAAATCTGCGAGGGTTTTATATCACGGAGAAAATACAAGGGAGTCTTAAAGATGGGGTGGGGAGAGATTTGAGAGTGATAGAGAAAGTTTTGGGAGATTGGCAGATTAGAGGTAGAGAGACGTTTAGATTAAGGGAATGAAAGTATATGAGTGATAGACGTATTCGTAATAATTATTCGACGGAGGTGTAACTTACGCGGGTTGGGAACTCATAGCCGGGTTTGTTGGGTGGGGTGTGGAGATCTTGAGGTGTAGAGTTTTTGAGGTGTGGTAGTGTGGTGGTGTGGAGGTGTGGTGGTATTGAGGTATGGAGGTGTCGAGACTCGAGAGTGGTCTTAGCACCAATCTTTAATATTTCTTATACGACGTGTTAAATCTACAGATCTACCGCTCTCACGAAAAAACAAGTCTATTACTAAAACAAATAATTATTAATGGACTCAGCGGTTACTATTTTTCGTGGTGTTTGAACATTTTTAAAATCTAGTGCGTTGTTATTAAAATTAACAAAAAAAAACCATGACTGATTTTTGATGGACTCTACTTAAAATTAGATGTACTTGGTGAACTGGTATTTTCTGTAACTTAACACGATTTTTTTTTAAAAAAGCAAAACAAGTCGTTTGTTTACTTTTTATCACAGAAAGTGACAAAAATAATGGCTGAACTAGGTGAGGTGGTTTACTTTTTAATTTTTGTTTTAAATTTTATCGGCAAAGTTTTGCGAACACATTTCTAAGAAGAGGGGGTTTTCAAAAGATGGATCACGGAGTTCCTGTACAGCCAATCAATGTTTGTGTTACGAAATGAACTTCAAATATACTTGATGACAATAAATAGTAGTGTAGGCTAGAATTAAAAAAAAAATATCATTTCATAATTTGCGGATTTGCAACTTTTATAACATTGATTCTAAAAGTAATATTTGCTTTATTAATTTTCAGGCTTAATTTTTTTTAAATAATTGTTTTTGATGGCTTTGATGGAGGAATCTAAAAAAACAACAACAACAACACGTTTTTTCATCCAAGTGAACAACAGCGTTCGAACCGAACATATCAAACTTCTTTGTGAGTACGTTTCCCCAGTGTGCAAAGCACCTTTTTCCTATATACACAATACTGATGTAATAAAATTAAGAACAGAGTTTCTACCAGGCATCTCTTCGGGGGGGGGGGGGCGCTATGTCCCCCCCCCTAAAAAAATTCTACCGCCCTCACCCCCCCCCCCCCCCCCCGAACGAAATAAAATTTATATAATTTTATATAAAATATGTACTTTAAACAGTTTTTCTTCCAGACTTTTTTTCTCCGGGGGGGGGGGGGGGCACTTGAAATTTTCCGGGGGGGGGGGGGGGGAGGTAGACTTTCTTCGGGGGGGGGGACTGTTAAAAGTATATATATATATATATATATACATATATTTTCTATATACATTTCATTTCATAAAGTTACGAAAATTTCGGCAAAAAATTCATTCCCTTATACCACACCACTGCGACCTTTCACCCCGTCAAGAGCACAATGCATACGATCAGAGCCGTCCCTCCAACAACAGCCAACACAATTCAGCTAATTGAAATCTGTTCAACGCGTTGAACGGCTCCGTAATTGTAGGATCCTTTCTGTGCACACGGTCAATACATTCCTACTTCCGGGGTAATAAAATGTCTCTTAACTCGAGGGGCGGTGGGCCAGTGGGGGGGGGGGGGGGCAGTCATCCATTGATTGTTGCAACACTCGATTCTGGTGAATGGGGGTGGGGGTGGAATTCGCGTCAGGGGTAGAAGGGGTGAAATATACTTTCATTCAATTGTGTGTTTGTGAAAGAGCTAGTTTCGCAAGACAGAATTCAATCAAATTATTTTTTAATGGTGTTCATTTGATTGGATTTTCTTATAAAAGTCTCAAAGCGCAAGTCAATGAAATACACATGTGGATAAAAACGCTGTAATTACTTAATTAAAACAAATAAATAATTAATTAAATGGTTAGGAATTAGTCAAATGAAAATAATTTATGGCAATGATTAAAAATAAATGTTGGGAATTTCTAAAAACAAATTAAATCTGTGGGATATTATATAACGAATAATAGTGGTAAGGAATGTTCAACAACATTAACATAACAGAATGTACAATGAATCTTATCCCAACCCTATTCACACCAATGCAACCCACCCCCCCCCCCTTTCACATACCCATACCACCCCCACTATAACACATAGCAATATCACCCTATCTGTGGTATCTTGCTCATACATACCACCCCATCCCCTCTATAACACACAGCAATACCACACCACCCCTGCTCTAACAATCAGCAATACCACAACCTATGCAGCTTAAAATCTCATGTGTCACAAAAATTATTATCTCAAGCTTCGAAAAGTAAAATAAGTAAATGTTCCATCTCACGTTTAAGTTTAGTATTGTATTCATCAGTCTCTTATTTTCAACTCATGTAATGTCCTTAAACCGACTCCGCTTCTGACGCCCACATCGCTAGGGAACTAACGCCCACTTACAAACTGTATATATTCTTTGTTACCTAACAGCACCTCTCCCCGGGTCACCGGGTCACCGTGACCCACGTCACCGAGTGTTTGCAGCAACCATCTCAGACACAAATCTAGATTTGATTTACTTAAGGCGCCATCCGTTGACCTTATTCCCTGTGGTGACGTCTCTGACCTTCAGGCAGTTGGTGACGTTAATTTAGCCGGACAGTTCCAGCAGAGAGTGCCTCTCACAAGAACACATGTTTGGTAAGGCGGGGGTGCAAAGTCAATGATGATTTGTGAGTACAACATGACTGCTGCTAGGCTATTCAATACAGTACTTCGTGAATTAACACCGTACTGACATAAAACTTTAACCTAATTCTTAGAAAACTTACAGTTCCAAATGATATTTTTATGACTTTTAGAACATTTAGAGGGCCCCCATTGGAAATGTGAGGCCCTAGACTTAGTATGTTTGATATCAAAGCACTACATTTTACAGACAGTGGTACGGTGTGGTCGAACGCTAGAGCTAATGAATACTGTTAACGAAGGTCTAGAGTTCGGGTCCCAGGCTAGAGACTACAGGATGTCCCATACCCACACTTCTCTGACAAGTATGCTGGGGAAAGTAGCGGCGGCAGGAGATAGTAAACACCACACCATCCCTTAATATAACAAGATCAGTTATACAGGTGAACTCTACTACCTCTGCGCCATGTATCGTGTTTTTTTTTACATTAAAGGCGATGGAATAGTAAATATTCTACACATATCATTATTTCCAATTTTTTAAACCTTCCGCGGGGTAGTACTTTCACATTTATTTATGCTACGAAAATTCGTGTACTGTTAAAATCATAACAAAACACAAAAAAATATTATAAACAGATTAAAAATAATTTAAAATTGTTGAATAACTCAATGTGGCATTCCCACAGAAAAACAAAAATTAAAATAATAT